GTCTGGGTCCAGCCTACCTGAGGGACCGCCTTTCCCCGTATGTTCCCCCAAGAGCGCTACGGTCGGGGCCCCAAAACCTTTTAACCATACCGGGCCCCAAGGAGGCTAAGCTGGTCGTCACGAGGGCTAGGGCTTTCTCGGTGGCGGCCCCTGCCTGGTGGAATGAGCTCCCGGAGGAGATCCGGGCCCTGCGGGATCTGGTGCAATTCCGCAGGGCCTGTAAGACGGAGCTCTTCCACCAGGCTTTCGATTAGTGGCCGCCGCCGTCGCCCCCCCCCACAGGGCCTGTAAGACGGAGCTCTTCCACCAGGCTTTCGATTAGGGGCCGCCGCCGCCGCCCCCCCCGCTGTTACCATCAATGTGGGGGGGAGGGCCCTAGGAAACTAGGAGGAACATCTGTGGAACATCTGTGGAACACCTGTTTAACATCTTTTCACGCTATGCCTACCAAGGGATGTTTGGTATGTGGTTTGTCCTCTCTGATATCTTAGTTTGAACGCTGTGTAGTCTGAGCACTTTATTGTCCGATTGGGTTTTTTAATTGCATACTATATTTTAAATTGTACTATAGTATTTAATGTTTTTATGAGCAAGTTTTGCTATGTAAGCCGCCCTGAGCCCTATGGGGGAGGGCAGGATATAAATTTAACAAATAAATAAATAAATAAATAAATAATAAGTCATGCTAATGAGTTATGCTAATGAGCTCCTGCACCTCTTTTTCCACGAAATGACCCCTGCTTTTTAATAGAATTCATCCATTTTCAGATTGAAACGCTCCTACTTTCATTCTTCAACCAAAAGTCCTGTAAAGTAGCAGTTATCACAATCACAGGAAATGGGGCAGCGCCAAAAAAGGGGGACAAGTGAAATCAAAATGCAAAAGACCAGCTTCCTTGTTTGCAACCTGCAAAGCTTTCAGGGATAGATTTTAGCCTGGAAGAATAACTTTCCTCTCTTTATTTTTAGCATCTTTCCAGCTGGTATTAAGAAAGGTGTGTTTCTCGAGATCTCTGTTGCCCTCTAGTGACCAATGTTCTAAACTGCTTTTCTTTTCTTTGCAGAGGACTTACGGTGAGCCCAACAGGGTTTTCAAGGCGAGAGATGAACAGAGATGGCTTGCCATTTTCCTGCCTCTGCACAGTGACCTTGGTATGCCTTGTCGGTCTCCCATCCAAATACTGACTAGAGCCGACCCTGCTTAGCTTCTGAGATCTGATGAGATTGGACTAGCCTGAGCGATCTCGGTCAGGGCATACCACAAATCTCTAATGTTGCTTCCATGCTGTATTTGCATTGGATCGTCAATAAGAGAAGAAGAGTTGGTTTTTACACCCAGCTTTTCTCTGCCCTAAGGTGTCTCAAAGCCACTTACAATCACATGGTGCTTGGGGGCGACAGTGGGAGGACATCTGGAGTTCTGACCCCGCTGGTGGACCTCCTGATGGCACCTGGGTTTTTTGGCGACTGTGTGACACAGAGTGTTAGACTAGATGAGCCATTGGGCTGATCCAACAATGTTCACATTCCCTTCCTCTCCCCACAACGGTTAACTTGTGAGGCAGGTGGAGCTGAGAGAGTTCTGAAAGAGCGGTGACTGGCCCAAGGTCACCCTGCAGGTTTCCCTGTGAAGGAGTGGCGAATCAAACCCGGTTCTCCGGATTAGAGTCTGCTGCCGAAAGAATACATGAAAAATACCTTACCAGTATTTTTTCAGGTATTTAAGCCGAATACAGATCAGACAATCTGACTGGCTACCCGTATAGCTGTGTCCAAATAAAACTGTTCCCCCACCGGCTTTTATTCGGGTATATTCAGTTGGTGAGGCTTGGCCGGCTGGTGGGAGTTGAGAGCTCCATGGTGCCTTGACTAGGGCTGGATCCTCTTGTAGCTTGGTTTAAATCAAGCAGCACAGAACTCTCAGCTCCTGCTGCCCCAGCTGATCCTCTCTTGCCTCCCCGCCGCGTGCAGATCCTGGGGTCAGCTTCTCCTGTGGTCCATTTTAACCCCCAACAGAGGAAAAGCCAAGCCAGCTTCAGGGTAGGGCTGGATTATTATTATTATTATTATTATTATTATTTTAAAAATGATATTTTTCTTCTCAGATCTACTGGACCCAAAAAGGTTCAGGGTTTCTGAAAAAATCCCAGATCTGAATACCCTACCAGTACTGGGATCCAGGATTTTTTGGAAATACTGAATTTTGGGGGGGTTCAATAGACCCAAACCGAAAAAATACTTTTTTTGGTACACCCTAATTATAATATGTAGTTGCAATGCCTTTGCAGAATATTAAGTATGTTTGAATAGATGGATGATTCCCCCCCCCATGTTGTCAGTTTTGTGTAGATATTTTTTTACTGCATAGGTGTTTCATACTGGTCTTATCTTTCTGTTTCCTTACATTCTTCTAAGCTGTCCTAAGTACGTTTATGACTTTTCATTTTAATGTACTATTGGTTGCCAGTGTTCTAGATGGCAACTCTAGTTACCTCTGTAGCAGGATGATGCATGGAGAAATAATTAAAGGTGGAAGTCCGGAGCTCTGAGGCCCAAATAGGTTTGCCAACCTCCAGGTGAGGTCTGAAAATCCCTTGGAAATATAACTGAAATATAACTAACTACAGAGGTCAGTTCCTCTGGAGAAAACAGCTACCTTGGAGGGTGGACTCTATGGCATTATACCCTGCCGAGGTCCGTCCCCTCCCCAAACCTGCTCTCCCTACTCTCCAACCCCAAATCTCAGGAATTTCCCAACCTGAAGTTGGCAACTCTAGGCCCAAAGCCCATTTGACTGGATAACGATTTCCTCTTCAACCTCCCTGAATAGCTGTCAGCAATAGCTGCCAAATTTCTGCCAAAATTCCTCCCTGAATAGTTGTCAGCAATAGCTGCCAAATTTCTTTTCTGTTCTCCATGTATGCGCTTGATTGCTTTCGCTTTCATATGTAGACCTGTTGATGCGCTTAATTGCTTAGCTGCTGGAAAATTTATATCTCTCAAGGCCACAGGTGGTTGCTGCTAGATAGTTGCTTGGGGATCTCACAAAGAACCGTGGGAAGGAGAGATGTTATGCCGCCTAGAAGCGTTTGCTCCCAGGCCCGATGGCGCGCGCGGAAACTCCCGCAATTGGGCCTCAGTTGTTTGAATGTACTATAACATGCCAT